CGACATCGATGTCGAGATCCGCCCAGCTGCGTGAGTGACAGCTGGCTCTGCCATTCTAGAGGCAGAGCCAGCTGTACCCGCCCCCTCCCCCGTCCGTTCCGCCAGTCAGCGCTGGCGGATCGGAGCGGGGAGAGGGGAATCCAGCCCCTCCCCTGTCACGGCAGAGAGCCGTGACAGGATCGAGAGGTGAGCGAACCCGGTATGTGTTCGCTCACCTCCCGATCTAATGAGCCGACCTGTGACAGTCTCATTGTCACAGGTCGGCTAGAACTATGAGGTGAGTGAAAAGCACTCACCTCATAGTTCTCCTTTAAATTAAGAGTCAGGTTTAAGGTTTACATCTCAAGGGTTAGGGTTTGGGCTATCTTGGGGGAAAGAAAAAAAAGAACTACCCTTGGAATCTGGCTACCCTGCAGTACAAGGGTTACCTGCTCATTTATGTCTAGAGGTATGGTGAAGAGGACTTTTACATACCTGATCCTCGCTCCTCCGGCAGTCGGCGCTCACTTCTCTCCCTAAAGCTCCAGCTTGTGGACGCCCCTCAACGTCCTCACATATAATACAGGGCTGTAGGCTTTAGGGGTATCTACAGATTAAGGATAAGGTTTAAGATTCTGGTCAAGGGTGATGATCAGGATAAGGGGTAAGATTAGACTTTAGAGTTAGTATTTTTGGGTCCAATTCAGATTAAGAGTTAGGCTTCAGAGTATCCTTAGATCAAGGTGTAATGTGAGGTTTAGAGGTTAGATTTTGGGCTCCAAAACATACTAGGTATTAGGTTTTAGGGTAGCTTTAGATTTGAAGTAAGGTTTATGGGTCAAGTCAAAGTTAAAGGTTAGGTTAGCATTAAGGTTAGCTTTTAGAGGTAAACTCATTTTAAAGGTTCGGTTTAAGTTGAGGTTAAGGGTTGTGCTTAGGTTCTTTTGAGATTCACCATGACCTATGCTTTGGCTGTGCAGATCAAAGCAAGAGGAGTACTTTACAGCTGGCAGTTTTTACTTACTTCCCTTAGCTCCTCCATGGCTTCAGTCACTGATGGTAGCCAGTAGAGAAGCCTTTGAACCAGTGTGTCTTGTTTTGCCCTTCTTGGCAACTGACTGCACCATCACATGGGGCTGGTAGGATGTCCTCAGCTCTGTGTAAGCTCTCAGTAGGAGCTTACATAGGGCATCTACTCCTCGTGTCTGGTGGCAACTAAATCAACAGGAGAGTGAAGGGAAGCAGTGGTGTCACCAGGGTGGTGTGGCTCGTACCCGGGTGACACCATTGGAGGGGTACAAAGAAAATGGACACTGGCACTCCAACAGCAGATAGAATATGTCTAGTTATTGACAAACATGCAAAAAAAGTAGCACAGTACACTCAGTGCAACGTTTCGGGGTCACACAGGATCCCCTTCATCGGGCATTTTGCCTGATGAAGGGGATCCTGTGTGACCCCTTGGTGTTGCACTGAGTGTACTGTGCTACTTTTTTTGCATGTTTGTCAATAACTAGACATATTCTATCTGCTGTTGGAGTGCCAGTGTCCATTTTCTTTGTATTGCTGTGACGATGGCCATCCGTCGAATACCGAGCACCCAAGTTACTTTGATGGACGAGCGGTCAGGAGTGCACATGGATTGTAACCATTGGAGGGGTGACACCAAAATGACTGACAGTCATTTTGGTATCAACCCCTCTGAAAAGTCGGGCACTCGGTCATGGACCGAGAGCCCAACAGCTGCAGGAGAGAGAGGAGGGGACCCGGTGGCATGCCTTATCCCGCTGGGTGAATGTCCATCACCAAGGTGGCCACCGGCAAGTATCGAAAAGATGACCGTTCATGCGTGAGGTGACATCTTGTGCAGGCGCGATTCTGTCACGACGGGGTGTCACCCGGTGTCTACTCCTGGTGACACCCATCCTCAGGATGCCCCTGAAGGGAAGCTGACTACAAGACGGAGAGGCGTGGTTGTTTTACCCTGGAAGCACAAAGCAGAGGTTCCCTTTAAAGTGTATGTAAACCCTAACAATGCACTTCTCTTGTTGGCCCCCTTTTGATCTGGTAAGTCTAAAATTGAAAAGCGCTTTGTTAAATAATGTTTAATAAGTGCCAAAAAAAACCCCTGTTGCTCCAGTCAGCTATTTAGAGCTGCCCTGTGTCCTGTACACACTTCCTGTGTTATCTCAAGGAGCCTAATAAGCCCTCCCAGTTCTTACATTGGGATTTGGGTATGATTAGCCTTTATGCTGTAGAAATCTGGGAGTGGTTAAGTAGTTTCGTAAAAATCAACAGGACAGTGCTGACACCACAAGAGGGCTGTGCGTTGTCAGCCCACAACAGGACAGCCGCGGGCATTTCTGGCTGATCAGCAGGTATGTTTCTGTACCTGCAGGGTCTTCATGGGGATGAAATGTACAGAAATGTGCATGTGTGGCTGAGATCTGCATATTTTTTATTTATTTCGACCTGACATTCATTTTAAGGCTAGGGGTTAGGTTCAGAGTGTTCCGGAAGAGCCAGATAGGCTAGCTTCTATCTATTGAAGCTTATCCACAGCAGACAGATGAGTATGTAAGGAAAGAATACATTCTGAGATTACCGCTCACAATTCACATCAACAAAATGCAAAAAGCCATTAACAATAATTTTCTCCATTATCTCCAGT